GTGCCAACTTGGGCCAGTGAAGCAACGTCCTCCACAACTAGACTGAAGAACAAAAGGACAGCAACTTGTCTGTTCCGCTTCCCCTAATTCCCCAGCACTTTTCCCATCCCCCCAATTCCCCAATAAAAATCTTTTTTTTTTTTTTAAAAATGAACACTGTCTCCCTTCTGGGGGTCGGGGGAAGCTATGCAGAAGAGGGGCCATTTGAGCTGAGCTTTGAATAAGAATTCCTCAAGTAGGGGTGGCCAGTTAGCTCAGTTGGTTAGAGCACAGTGCTCATAACACCAAGTTCTGATAGGTCCTGGAAAAACACACTGTTCCCCAATAAAAATTAAAAAAAAAAATTCCTCAGATAGCCAAGAGGTAAGGACTCTACAGGTAGAGGAAACGACATGAATAAGAAACAGTTTATCATTATCCAAAGAAAAGCTTTAAAAAAAATTAAACACAGGCCCCGCCCCTCATGGAGTTTGAGTTCCTTAACATGGACATGAGAGCTTTCAGCAGGCTCAGGGCACAGATTTTGGCTCAAAAGAAAAAACCAGAAGAGTATGTCCTTGAAGGAGGGAGGAGGGTGTCAGTAATCACGCAGCTTTCATTTTCCGTGCTACCGCAGGCTTTGACCTCAGACTGGTATGTACCGGCCATGGGCTAGGACAGCCGACTTAGGGAGGGCAGCAGGCTTTCCCTAAAGCAAAAACAAGTTATTTTCCTGTGGTGCCCATCCATCGTTATACAAAGAGGCTTTATTCAGAGCCGCCTACCTCCACACTGCCTTGTCCTCAAAGGAAACTTGTTTTGTTAGGACGGATTAGTCTCTTAGATAAATATTTGGCATTTCCTTTTACAGCAGTTTAGCAAGAGATGCAGATCCAGGCAGTAATTATTCTGCCCTCCTCCTCCCCCTCACCAGCCCGGGGAGAACCACTTCACAGGGTGTAAGAGGCACCCTCCACTCTTGGGAGGGTCAGGCAGGTGGCAGATGGGGCTGGGGGTGTGTGTGTAAGGAGTAGAATTCTGGGGGCCCTGCTGCCAGGTGCCTGGGCATGATTATGTAAACCAGTCTGAAGCTTCCAAGGGCGGGGAGGGACTTGCAAGATTTGTGATAACTTCAGTGTGAGTTTTAGGTAACTAGGGTGAGTGCTGACCATTGTCATTCAGCATAAGAGAGGGCATGACTGGGATTTCCTCCTGTAAGGGGCACTCAAGAGAACTGTGAAATTCTGAATTCACTGCACAAATGGGCAGCCCGCGCTTTATCCCTGGTGCCTCCAAGTATGAGCCTTTCAGGACAACCAGAAAGTGGAGGGAGATAAGCAGCCAGAAAGACCCCGAGCAGACAGTAACAGCCTGTCTGGCCTCCTTCACCACTTTCTCCAGTCCTTCCTTCTGCCAGCGTCCTTCCTCCTCTGCCCTCCCCTCCCAAGGAGACAATGACCAGAGAACAGGGTAGGTGAACTGGGCAGGCAGTTCTTGCTCTGAGCACATTAGGCCCTTGTTTGAGTGGGCTCCTTAAAATGACCTTGGTTGGGGGACCTGACATTGTACCCTGCGTGGATCAATGGATCGATTGATTGGCCGACCAAGAAATCACAAGCTCTGGGTGTCAGATCAGTTTAACTCACATGAATCGTGAGCCTGCAGTTGGCTGGGACCCGAGTCTGGGTGACATCCAAGATCTGAGATCAGGGCAGGGCCTGGAGAAGAAGGAAGAGAATCTGGCCCTGTGCAGCCATCAGCGAACCATGGCCTGGGGGCCGAGCCCAGCCTGCCACCTGTTTTTGTACAGCCTATGAGCTCAGAATTGTTTCTACAATTTTATTAAATGGTTGGAAAAAATCAAAAGAAGGAGAATATTTTCTAACATGTAAAAATTATATGAGATTCAAATTTCAGTGTCCATCACTGAAGGTTTACGAGAACAAAGCCCTGCCCATCCATTTATGGATTGTCTGTGCCTGGCTGCTCTTGTATAACGGCAGAGCTGAGTGGCTGTGACAGAGACCATATGGCTCACAAAGCTGAGAATGTCTACCCTCTGGCTCTTTACATAAAAAGTTCGCTCATTCCTGCTCTCGTTCATTACTGTGAGGGTGTAGTCTGGTGAAGGAGGTAAACTAAAAGGGAGCTTTTTGAGTGTTTCCAAATGTGCTTTACAGGTATCAGCCCACGTAATCCTCACAGTAGCCATGTGAATAAGAAAGGTCATCCTCGTGTCTCACATGAGGGAACAGAGAAACACCTGCCCGAGGTCACCCAGCTAGAAAGTGGGGGCACTAGGATCTGCCCCTGGCACTCTCCCGGAGACCACCATGAGCCAGGGCACAGTGACTATGATCCGGGGAAGGGGCGGATGCAGTGCTAAGGATGGTTGAGGAGAATAGCAGCAAAGGCCATGAAAAGGGTGAGTCACGTGCTCAGCGCTGGGGAGGAAGAGCCTCCAGGTGGAGGCTGTTCCATGGGGGAAGGGGAGGTGGTGAAGGGAACTGACGGTCTGTACTGAGAGTGAGGTGTGGTGCACATCACCCCCGAGTGTCAATCTAAGTACCAAGAGTGTGCTTACTCACACTTGGTCTCTGGGCACTCCCTCTGGCACGGACCCTGACTTCCTCAGTGGCTTTTTCTGCTGTGCCGTGCAGGCCCTTATCCGGGGGACCTGGCAGGGCATCCAGTTTCCTCTGTGCCAAGCACGGTTCTGGGCATTTACATGTCACTATCTGTCGCTGAGAGCTTGGGAATGAAGATTCTGGAGTCAGAGGACAGACGTCAGTTTGTATTTCGGCTTGGTCACTTGCTATGTGACCTGAGGTGGGGGTGGGGGATCCTCCACCTCTCTGAATCTGTTTGCCCATCTGCAGGAGGGGGATGGTAATAGGACCAACCTCACAGGGTGTGCTGAGGATTAGGCAGAGAATGTTAGCTCCTGAGGATGGTCTCCCTGTCTTCACAGCCCATTTTACTGATGAAGAAACAGGCTCAGAGATTTGCCAAGGATGGAGCTGGACAGTCAAAGTGCAGGCTCTTTACCCTCGACCATGGCAAGAGAAGTCATTCGGCCTTCGAACGCCCATGTTCCGCACAGCTTTTCTCCCCATGACCTGAAGAGTGTGACATACAGAGATGCAGAGGTTGGGGGGGCGGGGGAGGAGAAGGCAGCGACGCCTCCACTTGCTTTTCAGGCCCCCAGGTGAGGAGTGGTTTGGAACAAACAGCAGCCTGCTTGCTTTGTTGTTTCCTTCCTGCCATGTGACAGATACTACTTCCTAACTGTGGTCCCTACCTGTCCCTAACACCACCAGGGGCTTTAGGTGGGGAGCAGGGCCGAGAATATCTCAAGTCCTTTGTTCAAGGCCAGGTTCTTTGCTTTAATGCCCAATGGGTACGACCACTGGCAGATTCTGTAGCGGTCTACAACACCGCATGTCCACAGGACCTCAGCATTCTAGGGGTTCTATTTTCTCTGATGCTGTCACCAAACCGCCCAAGCCTCCATCCCACACACTCCACAGAGCCCAGCAACTTACCCAAGATTTTGTGTTGGTGGTTTAGGTTTTTGGTTTTTTTTATTAAAATTAAAATAAATCCAGTTCAGTCTTTTTGCCTTTAAATCAGATTAATGTAATAACCAATATGAATGTGGGTCTAAATCGTTTTGTGCTTTGTTTGTTCCTCCTGGACTGTGTTTATTTTTCTTTCCTTTATCACTTTTTTCTACTTGTTTGGAGGTTAAATGCTGTTTCTATTAGTTCAGGAGTTTCCCTCTTCCCTGAGTTTTCTTAAGATGCTCTGGCTGCCCCAAGTCTGCCCCCTCACTCTGATTCTTGCTCCCATGAATTCTCCACTGTGCTCACTTCTTGCCTCTTGTTTCCTGTTATCTTTCCCCCTTCTCCTCATGCACTCACCACACAGGGTGCAACAGCCTTTTACTTACCCTACAGGTAACAAAAGGTTGGGGGGTGATTCAAGTTGCTGGGCTTCTTAAAGCCTGCTGGCCATGAGGATTGGCAGCTGGCCCCTGTCCCTCCTTAGGTCCTAGCCGGTCCCCTCTAATTGCAGATCTTCTCTCCCAGAGTCCCACCCCTCTGCCTCGCACCTTCCTAAACCACTCTGCTCACCCTCCCTCTGTCACTATTCATACCTCGCCCAGTTTTCCTCCTTGGACTTCTCAGTTATCTGAACTCAGGTTAAATCTGCTGGTTAATTGTCTCTCTCCCATTAAACTCCACAAGGGTGTCCTTTCACCATTGTATCCCCAGGGTCTGAGGCTGGGTCTGGCACACAGCAGTGAAGACAACAAAGAGTGAGTATTTGTTGAACAAATAGGTGAAATGCTGGCAGCTGAGTCCTCAGTGAAGCCATCTACCTGTCAATTCCAGTGGAACTGGTGCAATGAAGGGAAAGATAGGTTTTCTGGGATCCTATCCCCACCTCAGGTGCAAGGGCGTAAACTGCCTACCCTCTGGGTCCCAGAGACCCCCACAGCTGAAAAACCGGACTCAGGGGAGCAGGTAGAGTAACGTACTAATGTTTTTAATAGTCTGATCAGATCAATTCACATCGCGAGGTCAACCTGGGCTTGCTCATGTGTGACACAACTGAGGTACACAATGTCCCCAACTGCCAGCTCTCCTGCCTTGCTGGCTCCCAACAGCACTGAGACCCCCTACCTGCCTGACCAGACTGGCATTTTTTAAAATTTTGCATAAAACTATTTCTTCCATAGACTTCAAACAATCAACTAGCCAAGTTAATTATGGTACATCTAAACAAAGTTTAATACTAACCCTAACTTGTGACTGCGGTTTACAAAGAGCTCTGTATCACCTGGGATAGCTTTCAGTAGCAATTCACTACAACTGGTCCTAAAAAATAATAACAACAATAATAATAATAATTAGAGAATTAAAACCCAACAGCAAGTTGAATGGTTAAAATCACATAAGAATTGGAATTTGGGGTGGGAGTGTCCTCAGTAGCTAAGCTTGTCCTAGTAGCCAAATGCTAGCCTCCAAACAGGGTTCAGAAAGGTCTGGGGCCCTCCAGGTCAAGGGTCAAACTTAGGGGGCTCTCGGAGGACACTCACCCCATGGTCCATGGGATGCTGTAGGCTTCCAGCTTCCTTAAAGACAGTTGGGCATCAGCGTTGTCTAAGTGGGTGGGGACCCTACTGTGGTTTCTTTTGAGGAATATGAGAAGGGGGAGTTAGGGATTAGAGAAATACGAGGGAACCAAAGTCACTGAGGCCTCCGAATGCTGTCAGGTGTGGGTCTGGGATGGGGGTCACTAAGAAATAAGCACCAGGAATTCCAGCTTCTGCCCGTTAGAGAAACTGGGACTGGTGTTGCCTATGTAGTGTTTCCTGCCCTTGTCCCATACGGGTCTCACAGATATTTCTGCAGAGCATCGGATGGGCATCTATTTCTAAAGACCACTGGGGGAATGGGTGGTGGAGAGAGATGAGGTGATAAAGGTTTGGGGGTGGGGGAGTTAAAAACGAATAAAAATCTCTCAGCTACAGAACCCAAATACATTACTTCTCTCCGCATTCACAGCATTTCTCAGCAGTCCCCGGATGGCCATTTCCGTGGGGACACAGCATCTGCCTCACTTCCCCTCAGGCCCCATGGGCTGCTGGTCAACCTCAGGATCTACTAAAGATGATGCAAACGCCGACTGAACAATCTGAAACCCAAAGGACTCAAGGAGAGACATGTTCTGCTGGGGAGAAAAAGGTGAGCCGAGGGCGGGGCCCAGGTCCCCCAGGGGGCCCCCGAGAGCCCGGACGTGCACCTTCTGTATGTGTTTGTTCAAGTAGGACTTGGAGCGAAAGAAGCTCCCGCATTCGGGACAGGGGTACTTCTTCTCCCCGTCAGACTCCATTTTGTTTTTGGGGACTGCCATGTCACAGGAGAAGGAGCCATTGGTGCTCTGCTTCTCTGGCGTCTTCAGGTCGCTGGCGTCCGAAAGGTCACCGTAGGAGTCGGAGCTCTCAATCGGATCCTGATGTGAGCATTTCTGGCCTTCTAGGAGAAAACAAAACACAGAAGAGAGATGAGGCCAGGCTTTGGAGATGACCCTTCCTGGAGGGGTCATGAGGGTCCAGCTCACAGGCCTGTGGAGGGCAGCCAATGGCCAGCCATTGCCCTGGCAGAACCCACGGAGGTTCAGCTGGTCAGTTTGGGAGCCTGGCATACCTACGGGGGTGAGACAGCAGGGCCCTGGGGCTGCCAGCCTCCCTTGCCGCGGACTCTTCATGCAGGTGCACACGTATCGCTCATCACCATCTCAGCCTGCTTTAAGGAAGGGGGTACAGACAGGGGACCGCCACTGCTTTTGTCCAGAATAACTCAAAGACCCCCCAGCTCCTAGGCACTCTCTTGGGTGCCCCTGAAAGTAAAAACAGCTATTTTCATTGATGCCGAGCAGGTATGTCAATGGCCTCACCTCTGCGCCAGACTAGCTGCACCCTAGCAAGGCAGAACCAGAGCTGCCGGGTCCTCAACCCGGCAGACCCCATCGATGACTGATACAGAAGTGAATCCTCTTCCCAATGCTGCAAACACAAGTCCTGCCTTACCACCTTCCTTCTGCAAAAACCCTTCCAGGGCCGAGTGGCTAAAGCACAGAGATTAAAAGCAACTGTGAACAACTCAGTCAGTCAGCTGGCTGTCCCCACGCAGGGCCCAGGACAAGCTGGGTTTTGAGACAACCCTGACTGCTCTGCCTTGCCCGGTCCACACTGGAGTCCTCCAGCGATCAGCAGCTTCCTGCCTGGGTTCAGAGAGCCATGCCAGGAAGGGAGGTCTGTGATGGGAGCGTGGAGCATGCCATCTCTGCCATCCATCAAGCCCCTGGCGTCATCCCCAAGGCAACAACAACTTGAAATACCACAGAACAACCTGAGTCAACAAGTGAAGGTGGGGCTTATGGAGCTCTATGCAAACCTTCTCCAAACCTTCTCCGAGTCAGAGGCAGTCAGGTAGCTCATTTATCGCCATGCATCTCACAAACGCAGCCAGAGGCCCTCTGGAAAGGGCCACTCACAGCAACGAGTCACCCCTATCAAGGGGGAAGCCAGCCCTTGGCTCCCCCTGCCCTGCAGGGTCAAAGGAGAGGAAAGCATTCAGCCACAGCTCCACACCACCCTTCAAGAGCCATAGGCAACAGACAAGCCCAAAGTGACTCATCATGCAGGGCTCCTCTTCCTGCCCTGGGCCTGGGACATCCCTGCAGGGCTCCAGACAGCGGGGACTGGCCAGGAGTTAGGGAGGAGGGCTGGCGAAGAGGAGGCGGGGGGCTGGATCACGGCAGTGCCCTAAAGCCTCACTCACTGCCCTGGAGTGAGATACCTACTGTGACTTTTGTCCTGGAGGCCACTGCCACTCAGATCTCCGAGCCTCCTGGAGGCGGCCAGCAAGCCGGCAGCCTTCCCGCCTCCCCACGCCCGGCCCAGCGCCCCCACAACACAGTCTGCGCAGAGAAGCAAAGTGCAGAGCAAGGGGTCGCTTGCCTTTGTTGCCATAGGTCCTGGCGCAGTGGAACGCTGCTCCCCCATTCGGTATGGGCTCCGGGTGCCTGGAGACCTGGGGAAGGGGAACACCGTGGTGGGTTTTAACATGGACCTTTAAGTAGGAGGCAGAGGAGAAACCTAAACAAGACAAAAGGAGATGAGATCCCGCGGCCAGCACACAGACACCTCTCTGCTTCCCCCAAGCCTCTCCTCTGGCCGCTCTGGCTAGCATCCCAGGTCAGCTGCACCTACAAGGGGCCCCTCTTTGGCTCCAAAATGGCTGCAGCCATGGGAGCCACCTGGGTTAGGATGGAGGGTGGCAATGTCCTCAGATCAGCTTCTCTGCAGAGCCCACTCTGCAAGGCTGCAGTGGAGGCCCCAGGCCGGATGGTCTGAGATCCTGCTCTGCCAACGACTCTAAGCTTGCTTGGCACGCCAGTAACAAATGGTTTGAGTGGCGGTCCCACAGCCACAGGTCAGCTGCAGGGACCACAGCTAGAAATGTAGTCAGAAAAGTAGATGAGGCCTGCTAACACCTGTAAAGGTAAACTGCACAACAGACCAGATGGAGGCAGGATGAAATCCCAAAGGAATGCCTCCAGGAGTCCCCCCCCTTCTTCTATTAGGACATGTTCTGTTTTGCTAACTTTCTCACCTTCAGAAAACTGGATTTAGTAATTGTTTAGACCTTTCGAAGAACAGCAAAAATAGGAAGTTACGTATGCTAAAGAGGCGCAGTCATCTCTTATTCATGGTGGTTTTTTTGGTTTAGTTTTACAGAATCCATCAGGAAGAATCAGGGATAATCTTTGTCCATACTGGGGGGAGGGGTCGTCCAGCCATCTTGGAACTGATCCAGACCAACCCAGATGCTCCAGTCATTCTGAGCCATGTGATACTTCAGGCCGGAAAGAGATCTTGGGCAAACTTCCACACCCACCAGGCACAAGTCTGAGGATATGGAACCAGGTAGGCCGGTCAAAGGATTCTGACTCGGGTTTCGCAGGAAGGAGCGGTGTCCTTGAACCCCATGATGGGGTCAGAAAGTGCCTTCAGCAGGAACAGAAGTTTTTTTAGCATATGGCCCACTTGGAATGCCAGGCCCCTGATGATGGCCCTTTAATCCACTCAGATCTGGATGACACGTTCTCAGGTTCTTTCATTCCCTTTTAAAATTACAGTTGCAGGATAATAGTGGGATCCACTACGAACAGGTCAGAGGCTGGAGACTACCGTGTAATGTCTGCCTAAGACTTGTGTTAAAAAGCCTGAATTGGCCTGGTCTTTGGAATGCTGTTGGAACTATACTAAAGGTCTATGGTCAGCAAACAGTGATGGTGTGCCCAAGCCCAGCGCATTGCCTGCATTATTCTGTAGTATTCCCCCCAGCCACCCTATGAGCTGGGAATGATTATACCTATTTTACAGGTGGAAAAAATAAGAGGCTTGGTGAGGTTAAGTAACTGGCAGTAACATGCACAGCTACTAAATGGCAGAGCCTGGACTCTGACCGACCCCAGAACCCTGTGCCACCATGTGCTCCTTAACCACTGGGCAGACTCTTGAATGGTTCCTGTGTCTTGGCCCTGGCCCTAGGAACATCCCTTGGATCTTTATATTAGGTTTCGTTATCACCATGTACACTCGTGTATATCTCTTCCATTAGAATGGAAGCTGTGAGCAGATAAGGACTGACCTGTGGGAAGCTGATTTAACAAACACTCCCTTGATGGCAGCGCTTGGTGATTCTGCAGGAAATGGGGGCACTGAGTGAATTTTCCTTCCTGTCCTGAGGTAGCTACTTCACAGACCTGCTTGGACCACAGCCTTGCCTGGTAGAGCGAGGTGTCCTGTGCTGGGACGGAGTGGTCTGCCTGGGGCCAATGACAGGGGACAGACTAGCTTCAAAGGGACCCATACAAACATTCCTCAGAGAGAGGCTGTAGTGAGAAACGAGTAGACGAGGCTAATGGAAAGAGGATCTCTGCCCTGCTCCTTGCTGTGGCCCTGACAACCAACATAAGATAGGAGGACTTCCTGCTTAGATGCAATGATGCCACTTTAGAAGGGAACTTTTTTCCTTTGTTTTTCAATCCCTTGTGGGGCCTCTGAGTGGTATGGTATACTCAGGCAGGTCCACTGCAGTCCAAGGGGACGGGAAAGGAGGGAAGGAGCACCAGGAATTGTTATATTTACTCCCTGTGGGAAGAACCACACCAGGGGAATACAGAAGATGCTCAATGAAAACTTGCTGCTTTTTCCTGAAAAACAGTCTGAGAAACACATGGCTGGGTCCTCCTGACTTTACCCAGCTGCAGACTGTACTATCTATAGCAAAACCACATGGCTGGGTGGGAGGAGTGGACCCACAGCTGCCACTTTAAACCCACAATTTAAACACAGAGCAACTCAGCAGCCAAGTGTTGGGATAAAACAGAAACTGAGTTTCTGAGAACATATCTTTTAAGTCAGAAATATGTAGTTGGACTTCTGAACTCACCTTCCCATTCACCACTGACTAATCAAAGAGGCAGCTTGATTCAGGCACCAGAGTGATGGAGACACTGAGCATACACGACTCCACTAGAGTCAACCAGCCACCCTCCCTTGTACTCCACAGAAGACGACTTTATTACCAAAAGGCTAACTGCTCCTCCCATTGCATTTTCTTGTCTGTTAATGCTGCATTTCACACTCCGGAAGCAAATTCTCCTTTTGCAAGTTCCCCTCTGTGCAGAGGTTAGGGGCTGCTTCCACCAAACCTTGGTGGGGCCAATGGGGTGGTGCTAGAGGGAGGTGCTAAGTCGATTTATGCCAGCTCAGGCCGGGGGGATGGCAGGCTGTCTGCACCCATGACTGGCACTGATGACAACTTGTACGCCCACCTCTGGGAAGAAGACTTCCTCTACCTTCTAAGAAATGATGTTTGAGACCAGATATTGTCTCTGTCAAAGACAGATTCCCAATAAGCTATGCTTCTTCCTCACACCAGTACATATGCATATACCCAAAGACCCTGCTACCATAATTTTAAAAGAAAGGCAGACAATCATGGTGATCTATCAGGTCCTTCTCTCCTTCCCACTGATCAACTTCACTGATTTCTTCAACTTGAAAATGAGGGGACAAGCTTTTCTACCCTTCATACTCCTGCCACTGCAAATTATCTTCCTCTACAGAAGGTATGACCCTCATCCTGATATGTCTCTAGGACAAAGACAAGGTCATCCGTCTCAAGTGTAGGGCTAGAGCACAATTTCCCATTCTTCACAGGCAAGAGTCTTTTGTGTGGCAAAGACTGAGAAAGGCAGACCGCTAGGGAGTTAAGCTGACTGCTTAAGAATTGTTGGGATTGAAGGATCTCGGAGAGCACTTGGAAATTCAGCTCATCGAACCTCTACCATCTTGACCAGCTGGCTGACATTGGCCTTTACTCAAACCCTCGTAGAGGTTAAGAACGTTCATTTTTCTTGTGCAGCTCCTCCTGTATTCACAGCCTTGGTGGCCGGCAGGGCAGAGGATGGCCCAGAGCTCTCTGCATTCTGATTCCAGGTCTCAGTGTCTTTGGTGTCCTTATCCTCTTCCTGGAAAAACTGCCTTCCTCTTTTCTTCTTCTTTTTCTTTTCTGGGAGGAGTCTCTTCCTATTTCTGTCTAAGAAATCAATCCAGAAGTAGAATCCTGCTCCTTCTCTTCTGATAAAAACTGAAATGGTTTCCTCTCCCTTCCGAGTACCCAACGTGGGTTGGACCAGAGCTCTGTTTTATCTTCTTGGAGGAATGGGGCTTTCCGTTCTGACTTTGGGACCCAAAGCTGTTCAGCCCATGATCCAGCTCTAGTCTTGGCTTTTCTAAGAAAAGGCGGCCTCTGCTTTTTACTCTTCTGGCGCCCCCACCCCAGTCATGTAGCCTATGGCTGCTGCCCACGGCCTCTTTACCAGCCCCAGGAGAAACAAATCCTGATGGACAATAGTTGCTGGCTTTGCCACATCAGCTGTCTTGTAACCGGGTCCACTTTCCCCGCTGCTCCCTGCTGCTCTTAGCTCTTCTTTCCTCGCAGGCTGGCCCCCCAGGGGCTGCGGCCCTGGCTCTCCCGCCAGTGCTTGCCCTCGCTCTGCAATCTGGGCTAGGCTTTCTGGGTTTCCTCATTAGCATCATCCTCCACTCTCACTGGTCCCCGCCACTAGTCTCAGGCTGAGAACTTCAACCTTGAAAACTTGATGTAATGCCTGAAGATGGCATGTTACAGCAGGTTTGGAATTATTGGAGGTGCTGTCAGGAAGCCAGGTTAGGATGAAACAAGACAAGAAACTTTTTCTAGAGCTGAGGCAGCCACGGTCAAGATGGTCAGCCACAGCCTGATAACTCCCTGTACGCACAACCCCACTGCTTGCTACCTGGAGGGGAGGTTCCTGCCGGAAAGGGCTCTACTGACACTTCAAAATAGGACACACATTTAAGCAGCTTTTATTACCACCTCCTGTTTGCCCAGCAGGTTTCCTGGTGGTACAAACAGTGACATCCTGCAGCCTTTGAGGCAAACCCCAGGTGTGCAGTCCCAGGGAGGGACCCAGCTTTAGGGCACCAAGAACACCCAGGTACTCAGCAGTCTCCCTCCACCAGTGACCTCAGGGCACATGGAGACAGCACAGGCACCCAAAGGTTCCAGTCAAGGACTGCAGGGATGCATAGTCCAAACCAGAGCCATGTCTTTTCTAACACTGTCCCAACGTATAAGGATGGGGCCTCCCAAATGTGCAACACCCCTGGGGTTCAGTTAACTTTCCTCTACCTCATCAGCTGGGATCCTCACAACAACCCTGTGAGGTGGGCAAGGGGGGTGTTCTTAACCCCATTTAAAAAATGAAGAATCTGAGGTTGAGCGAGGGGAAGGGAGAGCCCAAGGTCGTGTCGTAGGGTGAGGGGGGAGAGGCTGTAATTAAACTCTAGATCCCCTGTCTCCTGGTTCAGTACTCAATTCACTAAGCCATACCCAAGACTTCCAGAAGCATTGGGACCAGTGTCCCAGGAGATAGGACTTCCCAGCAATGTCCACACCTGGCCAAAGCAAGCGCACCGTGCAGAAGCGTCCTTACACCCACCACAGACAGCTGCCCCGACCTCCTTCAGCACAGATACCGCACAAGCCTCCTCCACTGACACTATGCTTACAAAACACAAACCTCAGCCCTTCCAACAGCCAACAAGCCCGGGCAGATGCTCAGGGACAGGACAGGCCTGACTTCATCCAACACAACACCAGGTCCTAGAGCCAGATGCCACCTAGGCTGACCTCAGCAGCAAGCACGCTGCCCTGCTCAGAACACCTTCCACGTTCCTCTCATCAAGGCCACAGTCTCCCTGGGCTTGGGCTCTTTGCTGGTCATTTGTGCTAGAAAGTATCCGCTTTTTATCCGTCTCCAGACTCAACCTCCTTTCACATGCCAGTGAATCAGCCAGCAGAAGCTCTCAAGCAGGATCCCTCTTTCTCCCACCTCTTGGGGCCTAATGACTCTCCCACCAACATCCGTAGTTCAGATGCATCCATCCGGCCACCTGAGCAGCAGACGCGTTATGGGCCCACGCCTGGAAACAACACTCTCTCCTTCTGTTCCCACTTGTTGATCTCCCGGGAACTCCCATTCCAAGCACCCCCAAGTGAAGGGGTGGCAAGCAGCTAGCTGGGCGATGAAGGTGTTTACCATTCAGTGGGAAGGGGGGGCCAGCTGTGCAAAGAATGGAGTCTGAGGGAGGGTGGTCAAGGCACCCCCCCCCCTCCCCGGCCTCCCATACAAGCTCAGGCCCATCCTCTGGGAGTGAGGAAACAGCAGGGAGATTACCTCGGTTACAGATACTGCAGAAGTTGCTGGGCCCCTCGCTGTGCTTCTTCAGGTGGTCTGCCATGTACGCTGCCCGCAAGTACTTTCCACACACCTGGCAGGGCACCTTGTCTTCATGACAGGCCAGGTGGGAGCGCAGACGGTCTCGGGTGGCAAAAGAAGCATTACAGGTCTGTGGGAAGAAAGGAAAGCAGGATGAGGTGAAAGCTGGCATTCCACACCTGCCTCGCTACTAGGCACACCATGAAACAAAACCATTGCTGGCCGACACACTGGGCTCCCTGTATAAAGAGAGCTTCGGGATATCACGTAGCTGCTCTTATTTCCCATGACGGCTCCTTATGGGTCACCTGAGTTGGAGTTATTGGTTCCAAATGGCTACCATCACATGCCTACAACATGGCACACTGAGTTCTATGCTCCTATACAAAATGAGGGTTTGGCATGTGTTCCTTTGTAAACATTAAGAATTGACTTCTGCTGCACTGACTATCGGTAAATTTACAGAGGAGTTACTGGCACCTGAGCAGAGCAGTCTTCCTGATCTCTGTTCTGGGTTTCCCCTAGTTGCTTTACACAAAGCATTCAATTTATTCACTGTATTCAAAAGCGACATTAGTCGTGGTCACAGGGAAATGGAAAGGAAAAGCAGGACAAAGCACAGAGATTACTCTCTATAATCTCATGAGTTTGTATTGAAAAAGCAGCCCCTAAGACGAGAGTGTCAATTCTGCTAACATGAGAATGAGCAGAGGTTTCGGGAGCATTTGTGAAATGTGAAATGGGGAAGTGCTGGTAATAACAAGCAAGGTGATACTACCCTGCATTGATTGAGTCCTCACTCTGTGCCAGGCAGGCACCATACTTAGCCTTTTAGAGGCACTTATCTGATGCAGTCCATCCTTACAGCAGCCCTCCCAGGCAGGATGTGTTATCACCCTCCAAGAAAGTGCAGTCATAGAAAGCTGTGCTGTGAGCACCAAACTCACAGCCAGGTCCCAGGGGCGGATGAGTCAGGTCCTGAATGTCAGCCCCAGCGCCCTGGGAGGGCAGCCCCAGGCCCCGGCCACACCTGCAGACCCTACTGACTCTCAGTCCCGGATTTTCTCCCAGCACCCCTTCCTCAGCTGGGGCTTGCACAGGCACCCCAGCCTTGGAGGTCGTGGGATGTCAGGAAAGCCCTCAGGAGAGATCCAGCTGGTGACTTTCAAGCAATTTGGGTTCTATGGAGGTGATTCAGGGGTTTTCGTCCAGTTTGACTCATTTCTCTGTGTGTTTTACTATTTTCGAACTGCAAGAGAAAGCACCATTCACCTTGAAGTGCGTTGCAGATCACATGTTAACCTACTGAAGACCCACCACCCTGTTCACTTGCTAAAACGGAGCTGCTCCTGCTGTGTCTGTTTAACAAACCATATCCCGAGATCTCGAGACCTCAAGGTAAGCATCCAAACACTGTCACCACATACACGTATCTATCTCCTCATCGTACAATCAAAAGCAAGAAACAAATGTATGCACTACTGTAATACGGTGGACGCAGAAAATGCCACTGTCGCTACCCCAGTCCCAATGTCTGTGTGCATCAGGACAGGTCTTGCTGTTCTCAGTCCTTATCTTCCATGTAAATGTTACAATTTGAATAGAACAATTTCTACTAATGAAATACTGATTTTATCTGTTTTATATATTGAGTTCATTCATTTGACAAATGAGGAAGCTAAGTTTAGAAAGTGCCCAGAGCACATGACTCAGCTACTGGAGAAAGCAGCAGTCTCAACACCCTGCTGCTGCCAGGCCATTACCCTACCGATCCTCCTGGCTATCCCAGGGTTCCTATCTTCCCTGATTACAGCTGGGCAGGTGGAGGCCTTGGGAGGATATGGGCCTGTGAACCAGCAGCCCTTGAGACTGTGCTCTTACCATCTCCAGACTCGGCAGAGGTCGCTTCTGGTGAGTGAAAGGTGCTGGTACTTTTTAACACAGTGTACTTGGTAACCAGGGCTGCCCTGACAGGGAGAGGTGACAACTGTGCAGGGAAACTTGAGCACTTAGGTGACTCAGAAAGCATCATGGGGCGCTTGCTTGGTTCATGGCCACAGGTGGGCCCCACCTCAGTCTGGGATCTCATGACCCAAATGTAGGGCAGTCTGGGACCTCATGGCCCAATTACAGGCCACAGTGAGGGGGCGGAAAGCCTGACTCTTCCACCTAGCCCACCGGCCTATAAACCAGAGCAAGGGCTGCTGTAAACCCACTCAGGAGAGAGTGGTGCACCTGTCAATTTGTCCACAGTCAAGAGCTGACTTTGCCAGCCAGTGGCCAGAGGACCACCCCTCCAATGATGAGACACAGTGTGGTCTACGTCTCAAAACTCAAAGGAAGCAATCAGACCAGGTGTGAGAAAATGCGGCTGAAAGCACACATTCAGGGTTCCGCCTTCTGCGGTCCCTGGGAGAGGGCCCACTGGAGGGATATGAAAGAAATGCCTTGTTTCTCTTGCCAACCTTCTTTCAGGATCTATCCTTTCAAAGCATTGCCTGTCATACTTTGCTACCTAAAGATAATGGACAGCCAAATCTCAATTATCCACAAGTGGGTTATCCATTTGAGGGATTAGCTAAGCAAAATTAAAATCCCAGGCCAGGCTGACTTCCACCAGCCCATCCTTCACTGATTCTCTCTCAAGGAATGAAAGCTAACTTTAGCCTGAGTAAACATAATTAGAAATGTAGATCTTCTGGGAAAAAAAGAAAACACACACACACAAACACAACAAAACCTTTCACTGTGTTACAAAGCAAAGCTGAAGTGATTGTTGGCTTCTCTGTGCCAGAACTGACTCTTCGTAGCCGCATCCCCAAGGTTTTTCTGGGGGAACTGTGCAAGTGTACAAGTTTGAGTCTAGACCTGACAGAAGCTCAGAAAACACAGGACATAAAAAGCCCGGTCACATGACCCAGTAGAGAATGGACATAGAAGAGTGGCTGAGGAAGAGACAGGACTCAAACAAGGGGACACCTAGATCCTCCATGCTGGGGCCACTCAGGGGAGAGGCACGTCCCTTCTGGGAGACAGGGAGAAGACAGAGGGACCTTGACAGAACAAGTGAGCCAGCAGTACCATGATCCGACTGCCGCTGGGGCTCGGAATGGCCCCCCTGCCCACACAGCCTCCTATCGTTAGGCACGCCTGCCAGGTCTCGGCCCGGCCACCCTGAGCTTGGGTATTCTGCAGCCATCACCACTCAACACTGAGATCCAGTCATGCTCCCTTCCCTCCTCCACCAGTTTCTCCCCATCCAAGACTTCCTAAAGCTTTCCTTCCCAAGGGTTGAGCAGCTCAGGAATGGGGCCCAATGCTATCAGGGACACTAATGCACACCTGACCTTTGGTGGCCTTTTAAGTCTGGCAGACTCGGGGGTGTCTTAAGCAGCCTTTTCCACAGCCCTGGAAAAGTCCAATGGCAATGCATGGTAGCCCAGTGCCATGGGCCTTGCTGACCCCCTTCTTCTTCTTGAGGGTGTCAGCTCCCTCCATTCATTCCTTCTCTAACAAGCTAGCCCTCCTGCCCAAGCCACCCCAACTAGCCCCTGAGAAGTGGGTCCACTGGAAGCAATGGGAGAGGTCTCAGCTTTACTAGCCTGTCAGCTTCGGGCTGAGCTCCACGTGGGGGAAACGTCCCAGCCCAATGCACTCCTCATAGACCCAACAGCACCTGGGTCATCTGGGCCAGTTAAGGACACTCAGGCCAAGCCCTGAGGAGATTTGTGTGTTACTGACAAGCCTGAGGCTTCGTGCCTCAACATTCGATGGGCTTTTCACTTAAGCCGTGGCACCAGTCTTGGTAACTGGCCCCTTTTGTCCTCGTGGCATCAGGAGGGGCCGAGAGGTACAGCCCATACCCAACTCTGCCAGGGACCCAAGGAACCAACTCCCAGAGAGCCGTCTCTTCACCTCTAAGGCTTTCAGAATACACACCATGCAAAACAGATGCCCCTGCGGGTTAACCAAGTCCAGGCACACCTGGTTGGCCAGCCCAGCACATGAAAGCCAGCATGTCTTCACTTGCTGGGTCATCATTAGAGGTATTCTGGCTATGGGGCTGAAGTGGGGCCAGCCAGCCTGTGAGAGTACGTGTTGGAGGGGCAGGGCAGGAGCAGGCTCATACACCGACGGACAATGATGTCAGTGTTATATGACACAGACCAAGGACAAAACACACAAAGCCTCAAATGTTAGAATGAAAACTTTTATCATCACTCCTGTTATCCCCGCGGAGCCTGCGGGGGCTAAAGGGCACACCACCGGGGCTCGAGGGGGGTCTACATCTGCTTTCTCTGTCCCCAAAGCCATATACTGGGGTGACCCAATATACAGCTACTGGTTAGCCGAGTTCCTGAGCAGACCTGCTAATAAACCTCAAAAACACAAAAGTCTAATTCACTAGCCAGAAATGAAAGCAGGACCCGTCTGAGTGGGAGGGGAAGAGGGCAGTGCGGGTCTTCCCCGTTGGAGATGCACCAGTCTCCTCTGGAGGGGCATTCAATGCCAAGGTGGGGGGAGGGGTGGCCAGGCCGCATTCTAGAAACCCCATGCCTTAGGGGAGGTGATGCCAGGGGAGGGGAAGCATAGACGCTAGTGGCTTAGTTCCCAGGAAAGCACCAACCTCCAAAATCACCCAGGCAAAGAAAGATACCCAGGGGTACCATCCAGTAAAGGGGGCTAAAAAAGGTAAGAGAGCCCAGAAAGAAACCTGAAAGGTGCGGGGGGACCCAGAAAGGAGCTTCTTGCTATCACTATCTGGGGTCCCTGAGCTGGGAAAGACTCCAGGTCACCCAGGGAGGAGCCGAGCATGGTGGGTGGGAACCACTCTGTTGGCCTCTCCCAAAAGCAAGGGTCTCAGAGCAGCCGCTGCTCCCATTCCCTCCACAGAAAACCCTCTCAGGGAGGCCAGGCTAGCCTACAGGCCACTGGGGAAAGGCTCGGCTGCCCTCTGGGGCAGTCCAGCCCTGCCTCAGATATCCCGGCGGGGCTGGGCAGAAGAGAGCGTTGCTGGAGTGTGCTGGGCCCAGGTTTTCGAGGGCTGGGAATGATTTTTTTAGAGAAAGGGAAAAGGCGGTGTCAGGAACCGAATGGGACGACCTCCACAAAGCAGGCTGGGCAAAGTCCCATGATGGCAGGTCGCTAGGAAGAGATTCCAGGGGCGGCAGGCCGCTGCTGCTCCCAACCCACACCTGGAAAAAGGGCAGAGAGTGCAGGTTACCCCCCCAGGCCATCGGGCACGCCCCCACTGCCCTCTGGGCTCCTCCTACTCTGCCGGGCCGCTCAGCACACTACCTGGGAGAGTCAGCATGTGCTCTGTGATGAGAGAACCAGAGACAGAGAGAGAGAAGGCAGTGAGGCACAGGTGGATCCCAGCAGGCCCACCCCTGGGTCATCGTCCTCGGGGGAGGCCACCTAGCCTGGCATACGTGAACACCATCCACGCCTGGCCCCTGGGGGCTCTTTGCCCTTCCTACAACATGTCTGTCCCTCTCCTACAGGTTTCCCTAACAGGGTAAAGAGAAGCCGGTCACCCTACCAGAGGCTGTAATAAGCATCCCACAACTCCGGCTCCCTCTCAGATGGCGGGAACTTGGCACAGGAGAGGGGAGGTCACCAAGGAGAAGACAGAAACGTGTTTTCCATCCACACAGGAATGCTTAGTGGCCAGGAGAGGAAACTCAACTTTCTGGGTGCCATAGGGTCCCAGATAATGTTCAAGCAGACAAACCAAGGGGGAGAATCTTGCCTAGCCTTCCCTACCTGTGACACAAAGAGCTCACAGGACAGGAGGCCACTTGCTCTCCAGTCCTCAGAAGCCCTGACTACTTGCACACATGGCTCAGGAGGGTTAAACAGGTGCCAGTGCTCCAAGATGAGGCCACCCACCCCCACCGCCCCCTCTTGCCTCTGCCCTAACCTGAGGGGACCCAAAAGGAGCACCAACTTGGGTCAAGCTGCCTGGCAGGCAAGGAGAAGAGTAGTTGGCTGGACCACTAGGAGCCCTTTACAAACCCTTCCCTCCCCACAGTGACCCCTACAAACTGCTGAGAGCCAGAAGCCGGGCCCAGTGGGGTGACAGTGCCCCCAAGACAACACTTGTGCCACGTGGCCCACCATCCAAGGAGCTGGCTAACACCAGGAGAGGAAAGCCAAGCAACAGAGCAAAGATGGAAACAGGGTGGGAACCAGGACCCAGCAACCAGGAAGGAGGGGACATCAGCAGTGGGGGGAAGGGGGTCAGGGGGAAGAACAAAGGAGAAGAGCAAATGAGGGTGGAGGGACAGAGGGGGAGGTGTGCAAAGCAGTGGTCAGCCAGCCAGCCCAGCACACACATCAGCTGGCTCATGGCTGGGCTGTGAAAACAGCAGCATTCTCTTTCAGCCCATCTATGCCCTGGCCCGACCCCTACCTGACACTTGTGAGGCCGCTCAGAAGTGTGCACCTGCTTGATATGTCCATTCAAGTGATCAGGCCTGGAAAAGAGAAAACCAAGACAGACTTTAAAATATGACCTCAAAAAATGGGCCACACACTTGGCCAGTGCCCCGACTCACACTCGAGCACACACACACTGCCAGAGAGGACTCCCTCCCCCACCCATTCCCACCCCAGCATCACAAAGACACAGTCACCACCCAGCTCGGGTTCCACAGGCCCAGGCCTCTCTGCCCTGGTTTTCTCTAGAGGGAAAGGGAAGTGAGCATTTGTCTCTGCTTTTGCCTACCGGTCTTCCCCCACCAGAAACTCAATGATTTCTAGGACCCGAGGAGGTAGCTTTAGAATGAGACAGAGCTGCCTTGCTGCAGCCTTTCCGGGAGGGGGTATGTGTGTGATTCATTGTCCAGACTAAAGCCCCTTAGAAACTCAGTATTCCCCTCCCCCAGCCTCTCCCACCGAGGCAGCCAATGAATGCCACCCGGATGGAATTCAGTCCCCAGAGGCCAAGGGATGAAGCCTTAAGTCCCCAGCTGGGCTGGTAAGCCAGATGCCAGCCAGAGCAGGTGGGCAGGGGCTGCCTGACCGGTAAGACTGGTTCCTGGTTGGGGCCCCTCTGAGGGAGTTCTCCATCCCGTTTCCACACACAAGATCTTCAGTATCCAGGCAAGTTAAAACCAGGCTTCTATTCTGGATACTCTCTTAAGAAGAGAAACAAAACAACCCTCTGCTCCCAGACAAGTCCTCAGTTCCCTTTCAGGCTCACTAAAAAGTTAATCTAAAAAGACATCCTGCCCCCCTTCTTTTCTGCCCTTAGAACATCAAGGGGACCTGTGAGTTCGGTTAGGCTCTGGAGCCACCAGGTCAGAGCTGATCAAAGATTTCAGTGTTAGGAAGAGACTCTGGGTGCTCAGCTCTGTGCCCTGTGATCCCAGGGGGCTGTGAGGGGGAAAGCTGGAGTCGACTGCTCCATGACTGCCAATGCTCTGTGCTAGGGGATTTGGTGGCACAGGAGCGTACGGAGTCCCAGATGCACTTGTTTCTGTTTCAGTCCCTCCCTCAGCCATTCAAGCGGGGAAAGTCGCTAAAGGAGCCCAGCCTCCCGCCCCCAGAGGGGGCCCCACGCCTGGTGCCGGAAACACAAAGGGAGCCCAGGGAGAATGGTGAGGCCCGGTGGCTGTGGCCTGAGGAATCCGGCCCCTTCCCACCAAGCCCCAAGGAAGAGAGACAGCAGGGCTTGCCTAGTGCCAGAGAACTTCCCTTAGGGAAGAGAAAGCAGCTTCTTGGCCACACCATCTCAAAAGCAGGGCTGTTAAAACACTCTCCCCAAACCTGACATGGCCCTATAAAGTCAAGTGACCCCCACAAATCCCACATGCCCAGATCTTTGCAAGTTGTCTCATGACCAAAGAATAGGACAGATCAGGGGGTGGGGGGTACCATTCCTCACCTGGAGAAGCCTTTCCCACAGCTCTGGCAGATGTAGGGCTTGCCCACAGACCCGTCGTGGGACCGCACATGGTAGGACATGCGATCTTTTCTCTTGAACCGAAGCCCACACACAGGGCAGGAATAGGGCTTCTCCCCCGAGTGGGAAAGCTTGTGCCGATTGAGATGGTACACGTCACGAAAGATCTTGCCGCAGATCTCACATGCCACCTGCTTCCTGGTCCGGCTCCTCTTTCGGGGGCCATCGGGGTCCTCAGAGATGGGTAGCCCATTCTCACCCAGCCTGGGAGGAGGAAGGTCGATGTAGCCCAGCTGGAGGCTGGTGACACCATGCTGGGCCTCGTGCTGCCGGAGCCGGTTGGCATCAGTGAACACTTTCCCACAGAGGCCACATGGAAGGATGCCTGCTTCCCTCAGGCCCCCCGGGGACCCGAACATTGAGTCCAGCAGGTTTGCCTTCCTTGGGCGGCCTCGGCCTCGCTTGCCAGTCAGGGGAGGGGCACTGGATGCCACATTGGGGAATGGGGAAGTCAGCAGTTGGGGGGATAGGGGTCCAGCCACCATGGGCAAGCGGTCCACCCCAGGTAACACAGGCAAGGAAGCTTGGCTTGCAATGGCTGCACCAGCTGCCCGAGCTGCCTCCTCCTCAGGCTGCATGCTGCCTGCAATGCCATTGCTGTTGGCTGCCAAGGCTGCCCCGTTGGTCATGTCCAAAGGGAAACCCAAGTCCGAGGTCCCAGGGGGACGAAAGAGCATGATGTCAGCTCGGGCAGGGGGCACCAGGATCTGCACATTGGACTGTTTGATGACCTCCTGGCAGATCTCAATGACCGACCTCATCAGCAGGAACTTGGCGGCCGTCATGAGCTCGGGGAAGCTCTCCAGGCGAACCACGATGCGAGAAGTATAGGCGAAGTCCAGGATGTCCCCGAACACCTTAGAGCTGATAGTATGCATCTCCAGCTCCCGGCTGCCCCCAGCCCCGCCGCCCGGAGCCGCCGCCGCGCCACCCACGTCAGCGGGACCCCCGTCCGCAGCTCCGCCGTCGCCCAACTGGGCGCTGAACACCGACTCAAAGTACTCGCTGCAGGCGGCCAGCACGGCGCGGTGTGCTGGGAAGCTCTCGTCACCCACCCGCAGGAGCACGTCGCAGAAGCGCCCGCCGTTTTTGCGCTGCTGGTTCAGGTTGTGCAGCATCTCAGTGCTGTGCCTGCTCACCTGGTAGGTGTAGCAGCCCGACGGGCCGCAGGAAGCGTCGTTCACCCGCTCCATGGCCGCCGCCCCCTCCCCACAAACCGGGCCGCGGCACTTGCCCGCCCCCCTCCGTTCCCCTAGGCAGCAACAAGAGGGGCGCAGAGGACGTGTCTACACTCCCCACACGTGCCGACCCGGGGCTCTGTAGTCTCGCAGGTGCGCCGAGCGCACACGCCCCCTGCCCGGATCGGACTGTCTAGACTGCAGGGCGCACCACCCCCCGCATAGCGGCCCCTACCCCTGCTGGATCGCGCGCTCCTCTCTCCTTTCCGCCCGCCCGCCTCTCCTTCTCGGTCTACCTCCGGGGGGTATCAGAGCAAAGAGGTGCGCCCCTCCAGCAAACGCGCCTGCCACCTCCTCTCCCGCCCGCCAGGCGGCGCCGGCGCGCAGCCAAGAAGAACGAGCGCGCGCGGGCGGAGTAGGAGGGGTCAGCCGCGCAGGCGCGCGCGCGCGCGCCGCGGCTTCTCCCGGGCCCGCTGGGGGCGCGCGCTGCGTCCCCTGCAAAGCGCGAGCCGGGGCGGGGGCGCCGGAGCGGAGGAAACAAAAGGCGAAGGCGGCGGCGGCGGCGGGGCGCGCAGTGGGGCAGCAGCGCGGGTCGAATCCCGGAGCCTGGCGGGCGGTGGAGGCGGCGAAAGCTGGAGCGGGCGGGCGTCGACAGCGGCAGAGTGGGCCCTTCCCGGGGCCGGGCGAAGGCAGCAGCGGAGCGGCGGCGCTGCGGCCTCGGGCTCCGTGTGTTCGGAGCGGAGGAAAGATGGCAGCGGCTGCACTTCCTCTTGCACTTTCACCCCTGGGGGGAGGAGAAGGAGGGGGCGATACCAACAACACCCCCCCTCTCGCTTGCAGGAAAAAAAAAAAAAAGAAACGGCACGCTTGGTGTGGGGGCCTCCCGGCGCCCCCGGCCCTGCACGTGCGCACCCGGATCCCTGGCCCGGGCCGCCCCGCACTGCAAACTTTCCACTTTCTTTGTGCCGAGCGCCCCCCCCCCACCTCACCCAGCCGAGGATGCAAGTCCCCCCTTCCCTATTTATACAACCCCCCCCGCATCCCCATTCCCCAGCTCCGCCAATGCTAGCGCAGCTGAGCCCCCGTCCGGCCCCCGCCTTCCCACCCCGCCCGCGGGGCCGGGGGCTGCAGTCTCAGCCCCCCCGGACCAATGCAAACGAAGCGCCAAGCCAGCAAACCAGCTCCCACTGCCCCTCCCTCTCCGCCGAGAGTGGCGGCGAGCGGACGGGGCGGGGGGAAGGGGACCAAGAGGTGCAGATCTGGGCCCCCAGCTCCAGTCTGCGATGTGCGCCAGTAAGTGGAGCGGGCGTCGGCTACTCTTTGGAGCCCCCCTTTGATGCGCGAAATCCCCAGAAGTCGCCTGCCGACCTCCTTCCCGCTCCTGACCCCAGAGAGAGCCCGGGGTCCTAGCTGGGGGCAGGCCGAACCTCCAGAGCTGCTTCTGCAACCAGCGCACCAACCGAACAGAAGGGGCTGCGCGCCCTAGAGAAACTGGGGCGATGAGGCCATCGTCCAGCCTCTCTCCAAACCGCCACACGCCCAGCTTTGTGGCCTGAGGAGCGGAAAGTCAACTGCTCTGGGAGGCGACAACATAAAGTCAAGGGCGATGGACAGAAGCAGGGATCCACGCGCACCCCAGCAACCCCCAGGGAAGTGAGGGTACTGGAGGGTCTGAAGAACGCCCTTCGGCCTCCTCAAGCCGGGAGCATCCCCAGCGCCCGCAGCCCAGCGAGTCGCCAAGCGCTCAGGCCACGGACCCCGTGGGCAGGCCTGGGCGCTTTGTCCCCGACTGGTCTGGGGATGCTACTGCGCACGGGTTGGACACTCAGGTTCGCCTGCGGGAGAAGCGCTGTCGACCGCTGTAGGGCAGCCCGTGGCTTCAACCGGGCTGCAGGCACCGCGTGTGCGGGCGGGAAGTTCCCACAGTTGCAGAGGGAGCGACGTATGTGTTCCAAACTTTCCACTGTTCCAAATTGAGCGTTTCCATTAAGAGAACGGGGGGGGGGGGGGATGTAGCATTCTGGGTATTAGCATGCAAATGAACGGGCCTAGCTTCCAACTCCACTCGGGGTTCCCACCGCCGCGCGCCTTCCCTGTGCCAAGCCTCGCGAGCCTGGGAGGATTCCACGCGTGGCGCCACGGGAGGACCCGAGTTCGAATTTGAGAATTCCGCTGTCTGGTTGTGTGTTCTGGTGCCAGCCAGTTGGCCTTTCTGAGCCTCTCGATTTACAGTTTTCCTAATGTGTACACCAGGGATAGCAGCACCTGTTTCATGAAGTGATGAGGATTCCAAGATCGTGTTTACACAGCACTTAATTCTGGGCCGGGTCTTTATTCTTACACACCTTTCTAGGATGTAGTAGGTGTCAAATGCCTGTTGGAGAGCACAAATGAAGCTTAGAGGCTTGAATAAAGTTCCCTGGACTCGGAGCCAGGCTACCTGTGTTCTAAGGCCAAACTAGCTGTGTCACCTTGGGCTAGTGCCTTAATCTCCCCGAACCAGAGCTCAGAGATTCTTGGGTGGATTTTGAAACCGGCAGTTTTTTGTGTTCCAGAGTGCTGCTGGGAGCAGCCACAAAGAAAGAAGAAAGGAATCTGATTATTGAGTGCCTATCATATACACACATCCTCTCCGAGGTAGATATAGCCATTCCCATTCTACCACTGAAGAAACAGGGAAGTGAGTGACTTGACCAACGCCACACAGATAGTGGTAGAGCCAGGAATCCAACCGGTTAACCCAAGTGTGCCTCTTCCTTACTAGTGGCTTCTGAACCCCCTCCGTGGCTCCATGTGAAACTGGCTCTCAATCTGCTGTGCTTAGAAAACGGTGCTGTGACTCGATTCATCCCAGAGGATTCCCCTGTAAAGATGGGCTCACAGAGTGCTCTCAGGATCCGCATCCACAGTGCTCTGAGAAAAACAGGGAAGGTGCGCCAGCCCCATTTTGCAGGTATGAAACCTGAGTGAGGCTCAGGGAGCTTGAGTGAGTGGCCCAGGATGCCACCATGGTGAAGTGGCCAGAGATAAGTCCAGATCCTAGTTCTGACCCCAGCTGCATGTCACCTTGGCAGTGTAACTGTGGGAGGCCTGTAATCTCTCATTTTCATAACTTGGCCCTCAGTCTTGTCCATCTCTTAGGCTCTTAGGATTTCATTGTGTAACTTCAGGCTATAAGGCATGCTTTCAGGACACATTTTTTGTGTGTGATTAAGGTGAAATTCACATAAAATTGAACTATTTTAGTGTGTAATTCAGTAGCATGTATTACATTCACAGTGGTGCAAGCAATACCTCTATCAAGTTCCAAAACATTTGCGTTACCCCAAAAGAAAATTTTGTCCCCATTAGGCAGTTACTTCCTACTCCCCGCTTCCTCCAGCCCCTGGCAACCATCAGCCTGCATTCCTTCTCTGTGGATTTATCTGCTCTAGATATTTAATATAAATGGAATCATATAATATTTGAACTTTTGAGTCTGGGTTCTTTCACTTAGCATAATTTTTTCGAGGTATCAGTAATTCATTTCTTTGTATAGCTGAAATTCATTGTATGTATATACTATACTACCTTTTCTTTATCCATCCATTCATGGCCTTTTGGCTATTGTGAATAATGCTGCTCTGAATGTTCCAGTACAAGTACAGTTTTTGTTTAAGTACCTGTTTTCAATTATCTTGAGCATAGACCTACAGGTGGAATTGCTGAGTTGTATGATAAGTCTTTTTTTATTTTATTTTATTGGGGAACAGCCATGGTCATTGGACAATGTTATGTTTAACTTTTTGAGGAGCCTCCAAACTTTTCCACAGCAGCTGTACCATTTTACATTCCTACCACACAGGTCTTTTCATAAGTAATTTTAGAGCTAGTTAAGCCTCCCATTTTATGAATGAACATGCTGAGGCCCAGAGAGATTAAATAACTTGTCCAAGGTCACACAGCAGGGTCCAGAATAGAACCAAACTTTTCTAAGTTCCTGGCCTTCCATCCACTAAGAGCCTCCCACCCTCCTTCAAAGATCCGAACTACCTGCCTGAGCATTTATTGATTGATTTGATAAACCTGTCCAATGGACATCTGAGTTAAACATATTTATGAAGTTCTTTTCCCTCAACACTTGTTGAAAGATCCCATCACCATTTCCCCAATTTCCAGGCTGCACCTTGAAAAGAGGCAGAGCTCACAATCCTTGTCTGCCTCCTGCTGCTGGCCTGTCCGGCTTTCTGTTGTCATGGAAACCACACACCTCCATTTGGGCAGTGCACTAGCTGAACAGCAAACTGAGAGCATCTTTGTCTCCCAGGCTAAGTGGAACTGTCAAGGTTATCCGATCACTAGATCCGAATTTATTGAGCACCTACTAAGCAACAGGTTTTTGAGGTTTTTTTGCTTTTTGTTTTCGATATTAGGGATACAGCAGTGAACAAGTTAGACCCTGGACCATGCTCTCAAGGAGCCCACAGTCTAGGGGAGGAGAAAGACAAAAAAACAAGGAAATAAAAAAGGTTTCTCCTGGTCCTTCTCCCCAATTCTTCAAGTTTCCCCATCTTTGGAGGCTCTGTTCAAATCCCACTTCCCCAGGGCATCCTCTCTGGGAACCCAGATCCAACTGATAGCTCCTCTCAGCTCTCAAGAGTTTTTATTTATCTTTCCTGATAGAAAAAGTGATATGTGCATTACAGAAAATATAGGAAATACATGAAAATAGAAAAAGATTCCCCTATAATGTCACCACCAAGAGTTAAGCGCTGCCAACATTTCCTTCTGGTCCTTTTTCCTTTCTACATCTGTATAATGTTTTGTTTTTAACATAATGGGGTCCTATTTTCTATAGTGATTTATAATCTTGTTTCATAACATTGTGTTTTCCTTCCAACACTGATTCAAACTTCCCCAAGGGCACTGATGATAATAGTGAGCATTTGTTGAGCACTAGCTGTGCCAGCCATGGTAGTGAGAGTACTCTTGGTTTACCCTCTGTAATCCTCTAACCACTCCTATGAGGGACCTACTCTGGGATTCTCATTTTACAGATGAGAAAACGGGAATGAAGGAATGGCCAGGTGAGGAAGGGAAAAAGATGGCCCAAAGCGTGTGAAAGACGACAGAGTGGCACCTGGACCTCAACCTGCTCCTGGGGCCCACCCCAGGAACCCCAGGCTGCCAGGTTTTATTGAGCGATTGGCCATGAGCCAGAGCCCCAACTGGAGGCAATGATGGAGAGAAGCACAGGAGAGGGGGCTCCCTTGTTTCTTCCAGACAACAAGAAACCACCCCACTTGCCTTTATCAGGTTTGCTTAGAAGGCATGTGAAGCCAGCCCACCTCTTCTCTGACTCTCTTAAATGCTCAACTGTGTTTGTCTCCCTAATAACAACAGCGACAAGCTCATTCATTGAGCAGTCATTGCACCTTGTGCAGAAGCAGCATTCGGGGTTTGGAGCCAGACAGACACCATTCAGATTCCATCTCTGCCCCTTGCTGACAATGGAGCTCTGGTTGAACTATGCCAGAAGTTTATTTAGTGCCCCCAGCCTTCCTCTGAGGGTAACCGGGAAGTTAGGTGGTTCATCCAAATCTGCACAGTGGAGAGTGGAGGCGCAGTCCTTCCTGACTCCCAACAGCCAGGCTGTTTACACTGAACCCTGTGCCTCTTTTCTTTATTGAAACTGAGTTTTTGTTGTGACTGGGAAGAATGTGCAAATCATCTGTTCTGGAGGCCCAGCTCTTTAAGCTTCATCAAGGATCCTGCAAGAGGCACAGGCTCAGGAATTAGTTCCTGTCTCCCCACCCAACCCGGGTTATCTCTGCCCATCTGCGCTGTGGTCTTCAGGGTCTGACAGGGACCTTGTGGGCCATGGTTTATCCTCAGACACGTTTCCTGCTTCTGTGTCACCAGCAGAACCTTAACTCACTCTCTTGCGTGTGCGCTCTCTCTCTCTCTCTCTCTCTCTCTCTCTCTCTCTCTCTCAGTTAATCAGGAACAAAAACAACAAAAAATCCTCATATGAAACTTTTATATTTTCGATACA